GTTTGTAAATTTTTCTCAACCCATGTAGTTGAGATAACCCCTTTTAGCTGTCAGCCGCTTCCACGAATCACTGTTCACCTGTGCCCAAGTTCAAACACGGTGAGTTCTGGTCAAGGTTTACCTACTATGTGTGGAGAAGAGTATGCAGGAGAATGTTACGTTCAGGGAAGCAGGCTTAAACCTTTATGTAGTTTGTGCTCTAAATCAAACACACCATCACACTAATGTCTCCAGTCCCGGGGACAGGAACTTTTCTTCTCATTCTATAACAAAAGTTTAAAGTAAAAATACACCTGGAAAAAATGATACATTTATTTACTATTTTAGACCTAATGTATGTGAATGACAGGGAGTCCTACCCACCCAGAAACAGATATTAACAGTTTTCAAAAATGTGGGTGAGAAGGAAGAAAAAAAAAAGAACTTAGTCTGGAAAGAGGCCAGGCCCCAGAGGAGAAAACCCTGCAGGGAGACTATGTCAGGAGAGGGGTCAGGTGCCCACCATTACCTGCATTACCCCTTCTTAATCTTTGGAGTGAAAGCTAGTACTGAGAGGTTCATTAAGGCAAATACAGCCTTGTTTGGTGAGAAGCAACATCTGACATGAACCAATCTGGCGTATTGTAAAACCACAAGAATTTCCATCAACAGCAAAGTCAGAGTGATGGGTTGGAGTTTCACGTGGCCCATCCTGGTTGGGCCCTAAGTTGGTTGGTAGAAAATGGAGATAGAGTACACTTCCCATTAGGATGGGAATGGTTGCCAGAGAGCCACCAAGTAACCTATATCTTAGATCAGGTCCTTGTGCCACCTGAAGATAAGGATACTAACCAAGAAATGGTGAATTAAAAAAAAATAACAAATTGGGTATTGGGTATGAGAGAACAGGAAGCATCAAGGATGACACAAAAGTTTTTGATCTGAGTAACTGAAAGGATAGAGTTGCCATTTGGTGGCACTGGGAAACTATGGGGAAAGCAGGTTATTTGGACTTTTAGGGGAAATAACAATTTTGACTTTGGATATGTGAATTTTGAAATGCCTGTCAGACATAGCCAAGAGGAACAGTATAAAGTAAGCAGTTGGCTGGATCGGGATGGAGTTTAGAGAAGGGTATCACGTTCTAAACATAAAACTGAGGGTTGTCGACTCACTGACAGCATTTAAAGCCATGAGACTCAAGTGGAAGTGAGTGCAAACCGAGAAAAGAGTTGACAAAGACTAGCCCTGGTGTGGGTAGACTCATGGGTGCCTCCATCATCCCTGTCTCCTGGTGGTCACGTCCTTGTATGATTCCCATTCCCCAGAGTGTGAGCAGGACTTGTAACCTGCTTCAAACCAACAGACTGTATGACAGCATGTATGTGAATGATGCCGTGTGATCACATTTTTACATTATAAGGTTATAGGGCCCATCGTGCTGGAATTTTATCTTCACTAGTTGACTTCTGTGAAGCAAACAGCCATGTTGAGGAATCCACTGGACAAAGAATTGAGGGAAGCCTCTACCCGGCAGCATGTAAGGCCTCCAGCCTCCATCCAACTAGAAATGAAGTCTTACTACTATGCCTTAAGATAATAAACTCTGCCAACAACCTGTTCAAGCTTGGGAATAAATTCTCCTCTAGGCAAATATTCAGATGATAGCCCAAGCGCCAGCTGACACCCTGATTGCAGTCTTACAGAAAACCTAGCTGTACCCAGACTTCTGATCCAAAGAAATGAAGATAGTATGTATGTTGTTTCAATCCTCTAAGTTTGAGGTAATTTGCTATGCACTGATAAAAAAACAAACGCAAGTCCTGAGCTACTACAGTATTTAGAGGCCAGAGAGCTACAACAGAGCCAGGGAAAAGACCAAGGAAGAGAGACCGGCGAGGTAGGAAGAAAACCAGGAGAAAAGCATTTCTCCAAGAGGCTATTGCCAGCTTCCTCAGAGAAATATGAAACAGAGAGAAACAGCAGAGAGAAAGTTGAGTCTGCTGACCTGCTAGAGAGACTCTAAGGTAGTCACCACTGAAAGGGACATTAGAAGCTGAGTCTGAGCCACCTCCATTCCAGCCTCCTTCCGAGGAGCCAGTGGTCAGAGGCACTGCTCAGTAAAAGACATTCAGCCTTATCAGGCTCCCCGGAAGACCCAATTAGTGCCGGAGCTGTGCTGCTTCACTGTTTATAAAGATGTGAAAGTTGGTATTTCAAAACTGGCTAACACTTAATACTAATCAGAGTCAGTTTATTTTAATTACTAAGTAGCTAACATAACCTATTTTTAAACTTTTGTTTTTAGACATGCTTAGATTGGCTTTTAATGTGCTTTTTTAAAAAAAATCAATACAACCAAATCTAATGAG